AAGAAATGCACAACAAAGTCCCACTGTTACTTCACCATTACGTACTTAATTTTATTCCTGATTCCTGTATTTTTATCATATAATTTTATCCTGTATTATTATCACATATTTTATTAATAAAGATTTTTGGTTAGAGGAATGTACAACGTATCATTTGTTATTTTTTATATAATGTATATGTGTAATTTTCCGGAATAATTTTCTTGGCAAAAGTGATCGGCGTGACAATTTGTCACGCGCACATGAATTTGTGCATTTTTTTATTTTTTTTATCATATGCAATCAAGTGACATTTGTGACACTACTCGTGGACGATAACTATTATTGGTATATTGGTCGGGTACGTAATATTATAAATTCGATAAATTAAACGTGAGATCGGTTTCAATTAAGATAATTAAGATGACTTCATTTTTCAAATCAAAGACGTTGGAAGACCTCCACTACGCGGGTAAATTTTTTAAACTTCAGACTTTTATAATAATTACTAGTAGGGAAGCTTAATTTTCTTTTTATAGATTATTGGAAACGCGATCCGTTGCTCTGGGGAAGCGTGAGCGATTGGGATATTTACTATATTAACCGTGTACCCGGAGCTTCCAAACAGCAAGCGCATCGATCTCTTTCATTTGAACTGCATACTGTTCTTAATGCACTTCCACCAAAAAGCCAGGAATATTACAGGGCAGAAGATTTGCAGAGATCTTTAACGGTAGTATTTTTTTGTGTTCTAGTTAGATTCTCATTTATGTCAGGAAAAAAAATGATACCTTTTCCCTGCAATGCGAATGAGCGACCCCGTCGCACAAGGCAAATTTCGTTTTGCCTGAAGTGGGAAGTATGTTGCACCTGCGTCTGTAACATACGTTACTGATTTTTCCGTTGACATCGTTTTAACTACGTCCTGCAATGCGAATGAGCGACTTTGTCGCGCAAGGCAAATTGTTGTTCTGCCTGAAGTGGACGGACGGCAGAAATGTTTTTTTGCTGTCGGTAATTATTTATCAACCATGATATGGTAACTTGTAATACTTACTGTATTTTGTTCTTTCTTTCTTAGAACTGTAAAAAAGACGCGGTAAACATTGAATTATGGAATGAACACTCCGTAACACTTGGAAAGTTGGCAGTTGAAAATAGAATTAACAAAGTATGTAATAACGCTTTTAATTTTATTTCTGTGTAAAAATCCTGATGTAACCTTTTCTAACTGGACGTAATTAGTGTGAAATCCTAACTACTGGAATACGTGCAATAACCAGTGCAGTGGTAACCCAATTTCCAAAGAAAACGTGTATGTTAAACTTCAAAATTATTCATATAAAGTTTCAAGCATCAATTTACACTTGTATATATTAATATAATAGCTTCGAAGCGGAAGGCAGATGAGCATGAAGAATCTGACGAATATGATGAGATTGATAAACATGAAGAGACCGAACTTGAAAAGCCCGAAGAGCCGAGCGAGCCTAAACGAAATAAAAAAAGAAAGAATACGACGGGGTCTGAAGATGATCAATTCCCAAATAACATAAAAAAATGGTCTCCTGACCACGTAAAAAAATTCCTCGAATCTCATATGAAAGATTCAGATTATAATGAAATTGACATTAAAAAAATTAGAGAGCAAGATCTCTCAGGTAGAGCTTTTCTTCGTTTAACCGAAGAGAAACTAACTCGAAAACCTGGCCTTTACGAACTCAAACCAAGTCCAGCGGAAGGTATTATGGAATTAGTCGAAGAGCTCAACAAAAAACTAGGTACGTAATTGGAATTATACGAAGTGCTTTCGTTATGTACAATTTCACGGACGTCTTATTCATGACATTCTCTTACTTTTAATCTATAGGAAAAGACCTTATTGAAGTCGTAACTGTTACAGAATAGAAAATCTGCATGTATATTTTTTAGTAATATATTAATAAAGCATTTGATCTCGAATTTTGTTTGTTGGTCTGCCTATAATTAATGTTTCTCCTGTACATGATATAAAAAATTATTATTAAATATGCAACCCGAAATTGATTTGTTAAAATTACGAATTTATGAGAATCAAAACTAAGGCAGGTTAAAAAAAAGAATGTAAAGCCGAGATAGTTAAACAATTAAAGATCCGATACCTTTGAAACTTTACGATATCCAGCCAATTTTTGAGATCTTGAAATTCAGAATATAAAAAATCGATCAATTTTAGAAAGATATGCAAAAATATTAGAATTACAAATTCTAAAGTATCGTCTTCTTTTTTAAATGGATTAGAATTTGACGCCTTCTTTCAAAAATATCCAATTGCATTATAAACACAAGGGGTTCAATATCGGCTTCATAATACTAGCTGGTATAAAGATATCGTTAATCGAGAAAGATGCATATGCCAAGATAACGAAATTTTTCCTCGAGGTATTGATCGGCTTAACAATTTGTCGCGCATACACGACTTTTTTTATCTCGAGAATTTAAACAAATCGCATCTTATATAAAAGTTATAATCCGATATGCCATCTGAAATTGATTTATTAAAACAACGAATTTCTGAGCTTGAGGCTGAGAACGCAAAGTTAAAACAAATTATAGAAGAAAATGCGAAGCGAGACGCCGAAATTGTAGAGCTTAGGTCTAAGATAGCAAAATTAGAATGCGATGTTAAAGAAAACAAAATGCAAAAACAAACCATTACCACACAGAATACACCTTCTAAAGAAGAAATGTCGTCCCCTTTATCCGAGAATAACTTTGAAAATTCGAAACAAAAGTTCTGTATTAATAATTCTGAACAGATAGACTCGCGATGTGATGATACTCCAACGTCTGAAATATCCGATAATTCTTCAAATTCTGATATTTATAAGGAGTCTTTGACTCGATGCTCTACATCACCTATATGTGCAAAGTCTAAATCGTTAGAGGATAAGGAAATGGGTGATTTTCTGGATCGTGTATATAAAGAAACTGTTAGCAATGAAATAAGAGAGAAAAATCGAGAAAAAAAGCTATTACGAAATATTGATGCATCTGTTTCTCAAGATCGAGAGGTACTCTCAGATGCGAAAACATTCTCACGAAGTGAGACTCCTCAGGAAGAAAAGCGATTGCCTCTTAATCATAATGAAAATCCGAATACTCCAGAAATGAAGATTCCTTATTCCGAGCCCAAATCTACTAATCTATTACCCAATCAAAAAATTCCCTATAATCAAAAAGTGGAACGAGGTTTGAGACACGAGCTATTTGTTTGCATTACAGACAATAATAGTAAAGGTAATAAAATAGTTGATATTCAGATTCCCGAATTCTCTTTAGAAACCATTTTAACTGGATCTAGTAAAGTTACATCACAAAATATAGTTGATCTATTTAGGGTAGCAATGAAGGTTCGACAAAAGGAAAGTTTGTGCTGGTATTGTTATTATAAAGCATACGAAAATCGAGTCAGTGATGTTAAGTCTGTGAATAATATTGATGTCCAATCGGCAAGGACATTAGTATATAATGAAATCAAATCACTTCTTCCAGATATTACCGATGTGAACTTGCGTAAAATAACCTCAAGAGCTAAAAAAGTCTATATATTATACGAAGGAATAGGAATAGATAAAATTGGTCAAGTAACTTATAGTGCAAGTGCTATTTCAAGCCTAAAAGATATTCAAATTCAAAATATTATAAATGATTTTTCCAAGAAATCGACTGATATGAATCGCCAGGCACAGAGTACCATTTCTTCCGAAATAAAAGTGATCGGCGTGACAAATTGTCACGCGCATATGTCAAGTTCAACTGATTTGTCAAATACTAAGGTAAGTATATCTCCCGTTTCTGCCAATTCGAAAAATGATCAGAATTTAAAATTACCACAAGTTGTAGTAAATATAGCTACCAAAGTCACTGCATCCAAAAATTCTAACTTGGAATCCTCTGAGGACGAAGACGATAATAAGGAATCTTCTGATGATGATGAGGAGGATATTGACGATAATGATGACGATGACAAAGACAATAACGAAACAAATTCAAAAGATTCAACTAAGGTAAATACTACACATGACCATGCCTACTTTCGTAATAAGACATTGTCACGATATTCTGATTTATATAAATTATTTATTTCTGAAAAATTTGATCGTTATGGAATTATTGAGGGTTTGTTATGTCCAGTATGTAAACTAGATCATGATGATGGGAAAAGTGTAAAAGGTAGATACGAAGATGGATCCTATTTTATTATATGCGGAAAGCGTGAAATCGAAATAACAGCATAAATTGTAAAATCATCAAAGTATAAATTCTCCAGTTGTAAGTTAATTACCTATACCCATTTTTTTTAATTGCTATTTCTGAATATCCTTAGTATATAAGTAAGACAAAGATACTTAATTTGAATTTGCGGTCGTATAAAACAATAATATGGATAAAGCCTTAACCCCCGAATATTTGGACTGGTATGCTAAATTGGTTGAATTACCAAGTTCTTTGACTGATAAAATTCGTTTGATCTTATATAAAGCATATACAGAAGAGACTGGGCTCGATCCCTGGATAAAGTCTGAATCTTCACGAATCGAAAAGGATGCTGAGGAAAAGATTTTATTTGTACCGCAGGTAAATGTTCAATCTACACCATCTAAACGACAATTCCCAATTTCTGTTCTACCTAAAGACCCGGAAGAAAAGCAACAACACGTTATTAATATGGTATTAGAGCGATTTCCTTATTTAACTCTGAAACATAGCTTTAGAAATGATTACTTTGAATTTAATAGATCAGTAACCTGCCCTTTATGTAATAAAAACCATAAAAAAGAAAATATAAAATATAATGTAGAAGGTATATGGGGTAGTGGCGAATTTTGCGGTGAAAAAGCTTATCATCTTTATTGCTATACAAATAACTATCAGAATTCAATCCATATAGTTAGTATAAAAGCATAAGTTAACTTGACTTCGACAATGCATATATAACGATAAATCATTTTCCCGCGATCACATGGGGTCGCTCCCTTGGGGCCTATGTCACATATGCGGATTCACACTCAATTATTGTCACTTACGAAACACGAAACACGAATTAAAATAACAAATAATTGCTTTATTAATAGTAGATAGTAATATTTTTATTGCTATATCTTTCGAAGAAAGTGCTATAACCGGTTAATAGCGTACATGTAATACATTGGCTAAAGAATTTTTTATTTCTATCACCCAATAGAATAAATATTTAAAACTAATCTAATTACTCCATTATTGCTCATATCCATATGAAAAAAAGCTCGTTTATTCTACAACTATCTTCTTAATAAATTCTATGAATTCTGTATTTTGTCACATAACGCATGATATTCATATGATATTTCCTTCTTTATCTGGTCCGATACATACGGAGGAATTCGGTTCGGATTGCCAAGAAATCCAATATAATTGGATCAGGGAGAAGTCGTCGGTGAATTGTAACGTCAGTAAATGTATCATGATACAAACAACTCAGAGAAATTTTGATAACACATTGGCCTTGTTGAATATTTGTCGGATTTCCATGTTCGTCGTGGGTACCGAATTCAAACTAATGATTAAACATCACGTTAGAAATTTAACACATTGATTAAAAAAAGAAATAATTTCTTGTTGATGACATTACATAAGTTCGATATGGGATATCTCTGTTTCTACCTGGTTTGTCTCTGATGCAAAAGTGCCATGCCTATAATTGATTAAATTCTTTAGAATGACGCAAACATTGGATTGCCACATGCACCTTAGGAAATATAACTTACCTGCATGCGTGTAGGCGGTTCGTACTTCTCAGAAACTGGATCGATCTTGATGACTATTGCGTCATGGACACGACTATGATTACGTAACCAATAATTATTCACCTTTTCTAGGACATGTTGTTCGCTCTCAGAATACGCAACTTCAACGACAATATTTGGCCAAGGTTCTTTCTGAAATCATGAAAAATATGAAACTCTGTGCTGAAGAGTTCAAAACAAATATAAAGAAGGTACCTCTCCATCGCTCCCGTTTGGTGATCGCACTGGGGGTTTTGAAGGGCGAAAACATGCATCGGCTTCTTTGCCGGAATTGTCAGTGCGAGTTCCTAAGGAAAACAAAGATTATCTAATATTACAAACATAAGGCTGAAACAGTTAATGAATTAATAGTTACTAATTGCACCAAGACCTCCGATACTGGCATCAGTTCGTTTAACAGGAAGACATTTCTCCATTATTTCTGAAGTGATCGAAACAATAAAAGTTTCATGATGCTTTGATGGAAGTTCATAAATGATGACTTTATAGTCGACCCATTCCCAAAGACCACGGACGTTAAACTTGTCTGTGCGTTCTTCGTACTCCTCTAGTGTGATTCCCTCAGCAATAATGTAGGGAAGCCTTACGTAATCAGCGAAATTGGTTTATATGAGTTACTAGTTCGTAAAATATTAGTTAACATCAGATTAAGCGTGATGGAACTTACTCGGCCTCTTCCCATTTCGCTTGTGGGTGTATGTTGCCCTCTTCCCACCATAATCGGCGGAGCTTTGATAATTCTTTATCAGGTTTATGAACAACATACGTGCTATTGGTACAAAGAAACGGCTCTAGTTAGGCAAAAAAATTAGACGTGAAGTATCAGTTGCAATATTTATTTACCTTTGATTCAATGAAATGGGGGTAATTGGGGTAGTGGAGGTATTGGAAGTAGTGGCGCTCTCTATAATAAAATGTACTGTCATTATTCTACCCTCAAGAGATTTCGAACAAGGTTAAAAATCACACACCACTTGACTCCGGTTTGTTAATTCTGCTAATTCTGCTGGCATTAGACGAGCTAGAGCTGTAACTGTCATAAAACATTTTCTGTTATTTTGCAAGTATATGGGAAAATTTTTGAAAGAGCAGTCAACTGATATGACATTTTCATATTTAAAGTCCGACTTTTAGTAATCGATAATTAGGAAGTAATTTAAAAAAAGCGGAAAGAATGATTGTATGATAACACAAACATATATAGCAAGTGCTGATACACGTGAAAGCGTGCCTAGAGAAATCACGAGATGCTAGGACTTTCATTTCACAAAAAATAAATGAATTGTCCCTCTTTGGGTCATAACTTTATTAATGATAGATAATAATATTTTTTTTTCAGCACTACATTATAAATGCGATCCGGAGGATAGAAGTATGGAGTAGAGGGCAAAGAGGGAGGAATAAGCCAGGATCCTAGGCCCCTTCACATTGTAAAGTAATGGCTATTCCTTCCTCTACTCCGTATTACTAGCTAAGTTATTATCATCTAAAATTATAGTGGAGCTACCATGGGTATTACTACTACTTGAAAAATTATTTCTATTACTACTACCACTACTACTGCTAATAATAAGAGAGTTATCTTTTTTCTGGTTTTCTTTTTCAACCCAATCTGTGATTTTATCTAATGAGGTACGTTGTGGTGCTCTCTGGTGCTGGTAAAAGGTTGCAAGTGTTGCGGGACTGAGATTAATTTCTTGAGATAAAGCATTATGCATTTTTGTGGGGGAGCATTTTACTCTTTTTCTTCTCTCATCAAATAGGGCAGTAAATTCGATCCAGAGAGTTTGAGTTTCATCGGGATATTCAGATTGGTGGCTTTGCACAGATACTCGTCCTAATAAAGAAATATGCACCATATTAATCAACATGTAGAATACACGCTAAACTTGTAATATAACACAAACCTCTACTTCGAACTTCACTTTTCCATTCCAAATCATTTTCTATTCTTGCATGATCATTTTTTAGAGCCAACATATCTCATTTTAATTCTTTTATATTCACATTCATCGTAGATGAAATTGGAGTTTGAATTGGGATCGGAGATGGGGATACATATTTTCGTAGATAAATAAATACTACGGTGATAATTACATAAAATATTGTATTTTCCAGAATAACAGAATAAATCATCTCCATTGTTAAGACACTCCGATTATATAGTTCATAGATAACGATTACAGTGATGAAAATCGCAAATAAAAAATATCGGAAATGTTGAGTTGCATTTTTCGTGATTATTTGTTTTGCAATTGATAAATTGATTAATTATTAATTATTGATTTTGACATTTGGTATGACTCAATCTCTTACCTGAGAATTCAGCAATATCAACATGTTTTTATACATTAAAATTCAGAATCACTATCCATAGCATTGGTTCTTCATATCTCATACTAAATCGAGGTAAGAGATTATTAGCAATTGCAATATTTATCTCTAACACTAGCTCCGCTATTAATACATGATGACTTCGTACTATTATGTCAATTATTATGCATCGGATAATCGCTCACCTATAAAATCATCTGTACATATATTGCCGATAATTGGTAATTTCCCATGTATCACTTGATAGTTTTGTTTATTACTTAATTTAGATGTAATACGACCCTATTTCGGAATAAATGACACTTCGGCTCTACACTCACGTTATCTCGAATACATGTCACAGGCAAATGAGAATGGGTTACGCAATACGTAAAAAATCAGATTATCGTGATTACGGTTTATAAATGCAGTTAAAATGTCTTACTACAAAATGAAATTAGTATTTTTAACTTAACTTATTCGCATTTTGATAGACCCTTTGGGCCATTGCTTCGTAATAATATTGATCTTTGGCTTGCTTCATAAATGATCCATCGGGTCGATAAAGCCATTTAATTATTGCATTTAGGATTATTTTAGCTGAATCTATTTGTTTTTGATACCATGAACGAAATGCTTGCTGAATAATTAATACAGCTTGTTTCTCACTATATGCTTGCCTTCTGGGACAATATTTTTGATGCATCTGAAATACACTAATTGGTCCTCTATACCAATATCCACATTTGATACATTGCCCATAAATTTCTTTTGTGGATCTGAATTTTCTTAGTACTTTAATAGGCATATAAATATATGTAAGAATATAATAAATTTTTTCTAAAAAAATCTCGATTATATGCTAACATTGCTGAAAGCAGTCGTGACTATATATGAAAAAATATTTATGATAGGTATCCGGAAATGTAAGTGAGTTATATGTATGCATATTGTATATATCAAACGTGTGGATTTTATGTGTCTTTGACACTAGCTCCGCTATTAACTAAGGTTTTTTATTTAATAGATAATCAATGGAGCTAACTGAAAAAATTAAATATGGCAGATGGGTAGGTTGACTTGTTTTCCTACATTAGGTAAATATAATTCATTAAACGAAAAAATATTACGTAATATCGCTTTATATAACTCGATAATTAATTTTTCTTTTTCACCCTGCGGCACCGTTTCGGACGTATAACGGCCTTACACATGTGCTTATCATCCGATTCTGAACTAGATGTGGAAGAACTACTTGTATCGGAAATATCAGAATCAGAGTTAGAAGAAGCGGAGTCGTAGAATTCATCAACACTATTTTTAGTAACACACCCTATAACCCTCCTCTCTTTCTTCTCAACGAGATTTTTAATACGGAGAGTTATTCTTACCCAAGCATCTTCTGCATCGGTTACAATTTCAGATATGTATGTTTGAAGCTCATCATCATCATATTTGTGGCCATAGAACCAATTATTACCAAGTAAGATATAATTAGGTGTTTTAGGGCCATATTCCTCTACAAGCACTTCAGTCAGAATTGTGATAGATTTCTTGTTACTAAGATGGAGATTATTTTTTATATTAGAAGTAAAGGTAAGTGGGATTACAGCCAATCCAAGTGGAGCTGTGGTTTCTTCTCTAATGAATTTACTATCTTTCTCTTCGGGAGTCAACTTTCTGCTAATTTTATCACCGATTTTCTTGAGGAGCTTATTACTACACATAGACAAACTGAGAAATCCTGATTCAAAGTGACAATTAACTTTTTGCTCCCCTACTTTAGCTTTAACTATCTTTACTTTCATGGTAAGTTATATTATGAGATATATATATTCAACCGAAAAAATAACTCGGTAAATAATTATCTATTCTCTGCTACTACATATAATTATTTGTAAACTATGAATGATTAAGATTAATTCCACCAATCTCTCTGATACAATCATCGAATGCAGAAATAAAATCGATATTATGTATCTCGACACTAGCTCTGTTATTATCTTGTATTATCCCAATTATAGCAGGGAGAGGTACGTCCATTTCAAAATCGCTAAATTCAGACTCAGTCTCAGAATCGATAGATTCAGACTCCGTTTCAGAGTATTCTGAATCGTAATATTCATTTAGACTATCGAAGTCATGTTTATGTTTGGAAAATTTGGTTATTATAGCTTCTCCATCTGACTTCATTGCAATAAATTTAGGGAATAATAGCTCGTAGAATGTATGCAATGAAAGAGGTAATTCCTAAATACTATTTCTTGCGCGATATTGGCTTTTTTCTAATTCTTGTTCTTCGATATCTTTAGATCTATTAATATATAGTGGTAGTTTTTTATACCTGTCAACTCGATATCCTGTATGCATTAACCATACATGTCCTAAAACCAAATCATATTCAGGCTTGTCAACAACTACAAAATTTGCTGTATCTATTTCCAAATATGAAGGGGGTACTATATCATCAAAGATATTTGGCAAAGTAACGGAAACTTTTTCTCTGTCAATTCAACCCCTCCTCATCACTTTCTTGCCAGCATTTGTTGTGCCAATGCCAAGGTCTTTTACTGCAGGATATTTTGATCCATACATTATAGTAATATATAAATCCATTTTTTTGACAAGTTTTTTGCTAATACTGCTATACCGAGATTTGGGATCAATAAGTGCTTTAACAGTTGTTTTACTAGCAATGAATGTACAGTCCACTATTAATCTTTTGCGAATTTCTCGAATAACCTCATCTTTCTATATATCATCTAAACTATAGCAATTTTTAAGATTTTGGATTGGGAGATTCTTTGTAATAGATGGTATCAATTCAGGTGAAAGAAGATCAAGTAAATTTGTATACATTGTTTTAAGTATCTCAGTTTGAACCAGCTTCCAGCTGACACTAGCTCTGCTATATAGCCAATCAAAAATCAATATAATAATTATTTACTTACCTATTCTCACTTACTTTTATCTCTGGAGTTATATATGACAATGGAGCTAACCGAAAAAAATATATATGGCAAATGGGTAAGTCGACTCGCTTTCCCTACATTAGGCAAATAAAATTCATTAAATGAATAATTAATTATTCATTCTTCACTAATAAATGTGATTATTTATAAACCACGTTGGAAGATTCTCTCTGAGATAATTAATAATTGCAGAAATACAATCCGTTTCATTTGATATATGACCCGAATAGTAGTCTCTAAAGGGCCTAGTTGAAACTAACCTATTTCGTCGACTGGTAAAGATAACTCTTTGAGTTGCCCTTAATGGATCTGGAATAAGTGGAGGTAAATCAGAATCGGAGAATTCATCATCTGAATAATCTGGACGTTCGATTTTAATTTTCGGATTGACTTTTTTTAATACTTCATTGCTAATCCTTCTACATCCCTTCAAACTAAGATATTTCAAATTAGTACAGTTGCCAGCTATCTTCTTGATAGCTTCATTATCAATCGAACAGTCATCAAGAATGAGAGTATGTATATCTGGGCATGAGCATAGAATCATACTAATCAATACATCTGAGATTTTCAAACCTTCTAATCTGAGATATACCATTTTAAAGCAATAGATTGGCTTTATTTTTTCACACATAACTTTTTTAAAATTTATCAATTGCTGGATAAGAGTTCGAAGCATCTTTTGACCATGCCAACTCCTCTGATAATCATTTTCTGTAAAAAACTTAACACAGTGTCATAGAGTAGGAGCACTACAGTGATACCAAAGGTGATTAACAAATAAAGCAGGATAGAGGGATCGATCAATTTCTAAAAAATATAAAATCTGTTCTAGTAATTTTGGTAAATCAAAAATATTTAGACCCAAAGGGTTATGATTCTTTGAATCGCCTAACGGCCTACTTCACGATAGTTGCGCTATTTTCAAGTAATTTATTATTATATATCTTTAATCAGTAAAATAGACACATGTTTAGATAATTGCACATTCTCTTACTTATTTGGCAAGTCTTTCCAATGCGCTTAACCTCTCTACTAGCTCATCTAATGGAAGCTCTAATTCGCATCTTCTGGCTTCCATCTGGTTATCAGGTGACAATCTACGAAGAAAGAAATATCTAAGCTATTCTCCATTGTATTTAACTAATTTACCACATTTTTCTACTTTTGTAAAATAGTCTATTACTGATTCATTTTTTTGTTCCAATTTTCCAAATCGGGATTTTTGAATATCGGTAGGCCCAGTTGAAATAGCGGAGCTAGTGTCGAGACACATAAATTTTAAATGCTCAATTATTTCATTCAGAGAATTTTTAAACCCGATTCGAATTACTTCTTTTTTATTTTCTTGTGATAGACCATTGAAGGAAGTCCCCTTAAGGTCTTGATTATTTAAGTTGATACCCAATGATGCGACATATACCTTTATCGTCTTGACATATTCATCCACAGACTAATTGTGTTGTGTAAGTGGTGGAATTTTAGAAGGTTTCAATTCTGGTGAATCCGGAAGTATATTTGAAGGCGAACTCCGATCTACTCAATTAATTGTATCTCTTATACCAAAATCTAACCAAGATCCTCTCATTGTTATATTTTCAGAAATGTAATGATATATTTAATATTGTATTTTTTACTGTATATTAATAAAAATAATTTAACATTTATAATGACCGAGGATAATAACAATAGCAGAGATAGATCAAAAAATATGTACCATGGCACTAGCCCGCTATTGAAATCAACTATGATGAAGAATTGACCAACCTTACGCAAAGGCAATTAAAATCACATGTGGTTAATATCAGCAGAGCTGGCACGGCCAATGGTAAAGATATAGAAAGTACACTCGATTCAAGTGCTAACTGATCAACTATAACCGAAGAATTTGCTCGCCTTTTCATAATTTTTACTTGAAGCCAGATTTTTTTTGTTATATATACAAGATAACTAAGTGTCAAGATATTAGTTCTGCTATATAATCTTTTTTCGAATATATGAGAAAAAAGGGCAAGTGTCTAGTAAAAAAATTCAGATTTCTATTTGCCAATTACTGAAAATAGTGAAACCCGAGATTGGACTAGAGATTATTAACTTAGTAGCAAATCCAGATATTTCTCGAAGAAAATGGTGTAAGGTGAAAAAAAAGTCCGTTCTTAATTATTCCTCAGATGAGGATATAGAGAAGCTCTGGATGAAATCGAATTCAATAATGAATCTAGTTCTAATAGCGAGGTGGATGCACATACGACAAAAGCAAAGAAGCGCAGTTACTCTTCATCATAGAGACGAAATCTCACAAGGTTTTGGTATTTACACAATTAATTTTATTATTATTATATAGAATTCTCAAGTTTTCACAAATACAATATGGATCAAATTTTTGA